CATTGCGATTCCGAAGAGCCGCTCCGGAGATGGACCAGCCTAAGCCTTCACGGAGTGCTGTCGTGGAATAGCGGCAGCAGAAGCCCTAAACTACTAACTGCACTATATGGGCATCTAGATGTAACTTTGGACGTCTTTGAGGATCTGCTGTTGAAGGCAGGCAAGCATGTCCGAAGCAACAGCCTTCATGGCTGCCGAGGCTCATTCGGATGAGGCGTTCGCAGAATGGGAGTTTCAGACTCTCGGCCGGACGAAGCGCGTGGTCGCGACTCCACAGCTTTCTCACTGATGCGTCTTCAAGTAAGAAATTCTGAGATGCTGTAGCCCTTATGGGACCCTTATTCCTCTTTCCCTAGACTCCCCAAAACCCTAAGGTTCAAGATGGTGTAACCGAGCTGAGAGGGTCGGGCAAAGCCTCCACTGGATTGCTGTACTAGCTAGTAGCTACCAGAAGCACCGCACATCCCGCACCAAGGAACTTCTCCAACATCGGGTGGTCGCCAGGGCCCCTGGTGAGTTTCAGGACTGATCTGACTTGAATGGTGGACTCCTCAGAACCTTGGAACACTAATTTAGAAGTCTACATAATTGCCGATTCCTTGGGGTTCCTTATTGTCTATTAATATACTAGAAGAAACTTACGATACTGTATGACAAAACCCTAGTCCACTTATTAAGGCCCCTAAGCCCTAACTTATTAAGGCCCCTAAGCCCTAACTCCCAAAAGCCTAAACCTAAATCCCAAACTCTAACATCTTAAATCCCTAAACCCAAAACTGTCCAATTATTCAGGCCCCCGTGCGACCGGATCATTGAACCTCTCTTCGGCTGAGGCTCGGGCATCTGGGAGTCCTGAAGGTGCCCCTCTTCGACGCTTCCGCCTCGGAGAGGATTACATGTATGTATGCGTGTATGCATGAATGTGTATGTGTCTATATATACACACATAGACATACATATAGACATGCTGTTTAGTGGTTATGCAATGGAGTGGAAGGCGATCAATATGAGCGAAATGCGCTGTGCGTCCTACGACTGTCTGTCATGTGAGCCTCCTTGCACGAGCAATTTCTGCACTCCTATACGACTTCGAGCATCCAAAGCGCCTCAGACCCACCGAATCCCCTCAACCCTAAGCCCTTCCGAATCCTTTAAACCCTGAGCTCTAAACTCCAAACCCTAACAAAACCCACCGAATCTTCTCGACCTTAAACTCTATACTCTAAACCCTAAACTCAGAAGCCTCAAGGAATCACAGTGTCTCCGTAGTTCACAAACTTTCTCTCGGCGCCATGCCGCTGCTCGAAAGACCCGACGGCGTCCGGGACCCGGGTCTTCAAACTCGATGCAAAGCTTCAAGGCTATCTTGTCCAAGTGGGTGGTTGTCAAAGTTATGGTACCCTAAATATTAGGTGCCGTATTATAATAATGACCCAAACAGGGACCTTAATATTGACAACCACCCAAGTATCTATCTATCTACCTATCTGTCTAACGATCTATCGGTCTATCTGTCTATCTAGAGCTACCAATTAGAATATACGTAAGCCTGGTTTCCGAGTTCTGGGCTCGTCTGTGCATCGCGAGAAAGACTACCGGGAAGTTGCAGAAGTTGAGAGCAGGTGGCGCAGCTCTAAACTCTAAAACCCTGACACAAAAATCAGAATCCGTTAATATAGAAGCCAAAGTAATCACCAATATTATTCTTAGGGTTCCTTATTATAATGTGCAATAAAGGAGCCCAGAACCCTATTCTAATTATTAAGGCCCCTACATTATGGTACCCTTATAGATCCCTTATAGTAGCCCTTATAGACTTATAGACCCCTTTAGAAGAGAACCCCTATTCTAATTAACAAGGCCCCTACATTAGAGCTTACCAGGACCATGCACATCCCTCGGCCCGACAAGTTTCTTTGGTAGCCACGGTGATCCTCATAAGGCCCCTGCATTCTAACCCTCATGCGAAAAGCACCCTTCCAGATCCCATAGTAGCCCTTATAGACCCTTTCCTTTTAAAAGGGATCCCCTATTCTTCTTAATGAGGCCCTATAATAGTATAACCCTTAGCCCTTATAGACCCCTTTAAAAAGGAGCCCCTACTCTTCTTAATAAGGCCCCCTATAGTAGAACCCTCATGCCTTTGACGAGCCCAAGAGCCGAGGCCAAGATCTCCTATGAGGTGAAGGGCACAGGCATTCCGGTCCTGCCCCTCGGCCGCAAACGCTAAGCGAGGGAAGACCCTAGGGTTTCGGGTTTAGGGGTTTAGGGGTGCAGGGGTGTAGGGTTCAGGGGTTTAGGGGTTTAGGGGTGTAGGGTTCAGGGGTTTAGGGTTTAGGAGTGTAGGGATTACGGGTTCAGGGTTTAGTGCCCCGAAATCCTGAATCCGATTGCTTCATTTAGCTGTTGCTGCCAGAGTCTTGGCCTTCAAGTGTAGTGTGCCGCAGTTTGACGTAGTAGGAGTCTTGTTATCAGGTGTCCTTCTGCCAAAGGCTCTTACTTCTCCTTATGTGGCTCCTTGTGTTATTCTCATTGTTCTCGTTGTTCTGCGAGCCTCCTTCCGTGCCCCATATTTGATTGCTAAACCATAAACACCCTAAACCCTCTTTTTCCTTTGCCCGAAACCCTTCTTTTGCCCTAAACCCTAAAAGGCCTAGAAGGGTTCTTTGTCCCCAGAGACTCCAAGATCCCTTAGTTAAAGAATCTTCCTTGAATCATATTAAGGATCGCACTATAGTTTAAGGTATATTCCCTAATCAAAGGGTACTGGAGTCTCTGAGTCAGGTTGCTGGCTCCCGGAGGCATGCGCTCCTCCCTTGCGATGTGGGCCATGATGCCCTGGAATCCTTGGAACCTTGGAATCTGACCCATTAGAATTCGGAAACGGAATCCACTGGTGAAGTGAAGTCAAGGTTCAGATTGCAAACACCCTAAACCCTAAACCCCTAAACCCAGTTTAGGAGATCGGCTTCGCACAGCTTAAATCTAGTTCAGGAGATCGGTTTAGGACAGTTTGAACCCAGTTTAGGAGATCGGCTTAGGAAAGTTTAAACCCAGTTCAGGTGATCGGTTGCGGACCGCTTAAACCCAGATCGGCTTAGGACAGTTTTGCCCTGGACTAGGCCATGCTTCGGGCCTGGAGCTCTGAGAGTTTTGGTTCCTCTGTTCCCTGGTGCTTAGTAGGGTTAAGGGGAATGGATCCTTGTAGTAGTCAATATAGAATCCCCAATAATGGTCTCCATAGTCCATTCCCCCATACCCTACTAAGAACCAGACAGTCTGAGCTGTTTTCTTTCGCAATTTTAGTGGTAAGGCTGGGCAGCAGTGTAGGGGGTTACTAGTACCTGACTGACGTTGCCCGCCACATAAACTGCTGCACTCGATGGTTTAGAACATCCAGAATGATGCTGCGAAGGGTATCGCACTATTTAGTATGTATGACAGCACGGGCAACCATTGTACGTGATCCCTGATGGCCACATAGTAATGCTTTTTCGGGTGACAAAAGCAAGGGTTAGAAAAAGAGTACCGGTGATGAGAGAAGAAGGCTGGAGCACCAGCCGAAGCAGGAGAAGGGGCACCATGCTTGCAGTTTCCATGATAAACTCAAGAACAACACTTGTAACAATGGTAGTAACAGTAAAAGCCATGTTGGCGATAACAGTAATTGCAACAACAAATCGCTGTAATAATAATATTCATAAGACCAGTAGTAACAGTAGTAGCCACAACCATATTAACATCGTATTACTACTCTTGTTTCTGTCATTTTCATTTTCACTAGTAGTAGTAGTAGTAGTAGTAGTAGTAGTAGTAGTAGTAGTAGTAGTAGTAGAAGTAGTAGTAGTAGTAGTAGCAGCAGCAGCAGGAGTAGTAGTAGTAGTAGTAGTAGTAGTAGTAGTAGTAGTAGTAGTAGTTGTAGTAGTAGTAGTAGTAGTAGTAGTAGTAGTAACAGCAGGAGTAGTAGTAGTGGTGGTGGTAGTAGTAGTAGTAGTAGTAGTAGTAGTAGTAGTAGTAGTAGTAGTAGTAGTGATAATAGTAGTGGTAATCCTGGGCAAAAGATGATGAATCACATTAACATGGTATGAGTACTGTTGTTTCTGGTATTTTACCTAAACCCTAAATCCTAAAGCAAAGGATGATGCTGCCGACCTGCAGCTTTCGACTCATCGCCATGGACCAACGCAGCGCGCAGGCCCGGGGCTTGAGAAAGCTGAGACTGTGGAGCCTGAGGGGTTTCGGGTTTAGGGTTCCTTCAAAGGGTACTATAAGGGTTCCTTTAAGGGATCTATAGCGTTTAGGGGTTTAGAGTTCGGGGTTTGGGATAGAGTTTAGGGTTGAGGGATTTAGGGTTTGGGATTTTGGGCTCAGTTTGGGCTTTTAAGGTTTCTATAATCTGTAAGGGTTACTGCCAGTGATACTGCAGGCTGCAGGGTTCTGCTGCCAGTCAAGTTTGAGTTGATTCATTCTCACCGCTGCTAGTCTGTCCATTTCAATCGCGGACTATAATTCCCGCCGCTGCGCCAATCGTTGTATCAGCGCCAGCTCAGATTAGCGACGCCTGCAAAAGCTGTTTCTGGTTCTCCCGAAGTAGTTTGACTTTCGTCGCCAAGGTAGATCTTGTTGTTGTTCTAAACTGATAACCCGTATTGACAACCTTAGCAATTGGTTGACCCCGGCAACTTCCATGAGCCCTGACCGGTTGAAACTGAATCGCAACCGTCGCCGTTGTCGTTGTCATGTGCTGCTGGCGCGTGGGTGGCGGTGGTGATGGTAGTAGTAGCAGCAGTAGTAGTAGTAGCAGCAGGAATAGTAGCAGTAGTAGTAGTAGCAGTAGTAGTATTAGTAGTAGTACTAGTATTGGTTTTTTCACAGCGTGATCGTCGTCCATTATGCCAGCAGTCATATTTAGATTCTCAGGCCTAGGCTTGTGGGTGTCTCATGTTTCAAGCATAAGGTTCAAGGCCGATTCCAGTCGTGTCTCACAGGTTGGTCCTGGCATGTCCACAGCCACCATCTCTGCCGGCGGCTTGTCCTGAAAGGTGGCAGGTAGGATTGAAGCTTTGGGGCTTTCGGATTTGGCATTTCGAGTTCGAAGGTCGCAGGTTTGCTGTGTACTAAGCTTGTGCAGCACAGCCCTGGGATCGAAACTTTAAGCCACATGCGCTACACGGAGGCTTCTGAAGTTCAGGGCCCTGGCCGAACAGCTGAGGAGATGGTTGGCACACTTTTGCAGACGATCAGCTGGCACTGCTGGATCACCTGGGCATTCAGAAGGCCTTGCTGCTAGGACCGACATGGCATCAGATGCGGCATCAGGGTTGTTATGCCACTACCCGCCGTGAAGTTCGTCGTCTGCGTCTTGAGATTGATCCAAGCTTAATGTCGGAAGTTTTCAACCGTGATACTCGTATACTCTACTGACTCTACTGCCCGAAAATGTACTGCACGATACCATTACCGAACATAGTAAGAAGCCGTAGCAAACTCCCGACCTCCAGGCAGGAGGCCTTTGACTGTATGCCAAGACGCAGCGGACTGAAGTCAAACTCCAGATAACTGTACCCATTTTAACTGCATAATCTTATGCTCTCGTGATATACGACAATATGAACATTCTACCTCTCAAACGTCAGGATCTTGCATTGGGCCTTCGTTCCAGCTGCGCCTGCTGAAAGAAGCAGCCTGATCCCGTTTTTTCTGATTTGGAGGTCGATGGTGTCCCTAAACCCTGAACCCTATCCCTATAGGCCCTTAACCCCTAAACCCTAAACCCTTAAGAACCCCATGTTCTGAAGCCATGAGCTTGTTTTTCGTGCATTAGCTGTGTTTTGTAATGGGGGGGGGTGACACATGAGGGTCTTAGGGTCACAGGCTTGCCATGTTGTGTTGTGCAAGGGCTTGAAGCCAGCGTCGCTGGCCCGAACTTGCCATTGAGCTTCGACTTTGCCGTGCTGTGCAGGCAACATATTCATATACTTAATTAATGATGTATAATGCTCATATGACCCTTGGTCTAGGATCCTATAGTTGTAGTATACTACTAGTATGTATATCTACCTGGCTATCGTGCAATATTCACTGTAGATACTTTGGCCCCAATGTACCTATATAGGGACTACTTAAGGCCAATATATACGTCTACTAGTTAGATACATGGACCCTTAGGGTATTGAAGACTTTGGTACAAGATCATACCGATGCCCTGGCACAGTTCAGGCGCCTGATCGCTTTGTGGGGGCCGTGTTGCTGCAGCCAATCGGAATGAGCAGCCTGCCTCCTTTGGGGAACGATTTTAGGGTTTGGGGGTTCAGGGGAACGAGTTTAGGGTTTGGGCTCAGGGGAACGAGTTTAGGGTTTCAGAGGAAAGATTAGGGTTTAGGGTTTTAGAGGACATGAGTTTAGGGTTTATTAGTGGACAGAGTCTACGGTTTAAGGTTTAGCGGAATCCTGTCACTGAGTCGTGGTCTTGGGGTTTGTAGGGTCTATAGATGTTCAGGGGAATTCTGTCACTTGGTCGCGGTCTTAGCGGGAACAGGTCCAGCTGCAGATGCCGTGTTGAAGGGTCATTGTTCAGCAGAGCAGGGGTGGCCTACAGCAGAAGACTATCATCCGAAGTAAATCATTTGTCGTTTTGCAGGCGTGAGGTCCTTCTTTGGGTCGTTGCGTTCTGTAGTCCGGAGCTTCAGCATGGTTCGGGATTTGTGGCTAACCAACTTATGGTTGCAGCCATGGAGGCCAAACCTCAGACTGAAATCCGAAACAGGCCACCGCGATGAGAACCGGAAGTCGTGACCAACTACACTTTCCCACGTGACCGCCATGTCCATAAGTTGCCTTCCCCGCAGGTGCCCACCAGCCGCCGTTGTTGGGTTGTCAGAATCTTTCGCCTATTGAAGGTCATGCTTTGGGAGCAGGGACTTGCCTTTGTTCCAGATTCCAGAAATCTTGTCCTTGCCTAGGTGTTCACACCACAGAGCGGGAGGGCTGGAAAGGGATCAACACGGAAGCCACCAGCCATTGGCAACTCGGATTGCATTTCACTGAGCCACGTATCTCATCGTGTGTTGATGATGTGGTAGGCAGGCATTCCAACTTCGGCTACCCATTAGCCTCCATATTTAGACAGCGACCAGGGCTAGGCTCCCATCCTGAGCAGCAGGTTTGGAGACTGGGCAGCTGAGATGGAGAGGGAAAAGAAGGCCGGACTCACCGAGCTGCGCGGCCTCTACGAGGCGTGGATGCAAGCTTACAAGCATGGTCTTAGGCGGTAACTATAGAATCTTATTCCTACCTTACTAAAGGACCTAAAGTCTCCGTTGCCGTTGTAGTTCCTTTTTTGGGTTAGCCAGTTTTATGGTAAGGATCCTATAATACAGGTTTTGGTTAACCAGAAAAAGAAGGAAGGAAGCCATGGCCACCGGAAGCCGCACTAGAACCTAAGCCACCGTGGACGAGTAGGTCAGGAACGGACCGTCGCCATAGCAATCAGGGTTTAGGGTTTAGGGTTAAGATGAAGATGGGATTGATCGTTTGTTTGTGTGTCTTCCTATAGATGAATGTGCTCGTTAGCTGTTAGCGTTTTCGAAAGCGAAGTACACAGATTGCCTTCCGCCAGGCCATGTTTGGGTCTGGCAGAGACTTCGTCTTCAGCGTCTCGAGAGAGGATGTGCAGAAGATGCAGACGCCCATGCTTGTGCTGATGGGTGCGGGCCCAAGGAAGGTAGAAGGTGCCAGCAACTTCGGGCCTTTCGTACCGATCAGCCAGGATTCAAAGTCACAAGATCCACAGAGGCAGACAGCTTGGCCGGCAGATTAGATGCAAGAACGCTTGGAAATGAAGCTATGCCCGACAAGCACAAAACTTCGATTTCACTGTCACCCGAAACGACAACAACAGCACAGCTGTACTGCTTGTTTCCCCTGCTCCCTCTTACATTTTCCTTTCCCTCGAAGGCCTGGACCAGTACCATCCCGCGGAAACGGCGCGGGAGATTGCACGCTTGGCTCCAGCAGCGGAGCTGATCGAAAGGTGGAAAGACAGCCCGGAGCTGATTGAGGAGGCATCGCATCTCACGCAGTGCAACAAGCCTTGGTGGCTCTGAGTAGGTGTAGAGAAAGGGAGGACGGGTCTGAAGAGAAGCGCCGTGAAATGAAGTGTAGGTTTTGGAACACTTCAGATAGAAGAGTCGTCCTAGTGCCCAGAATGGCTAGCAATAGTCATTAACGACCTTAGTGGCTGATGCTCCCTTGATGAAGATGGACCATGGAGCTAGCCGGCAGAGCATGACGACGAAGCCCTTCGAACCTGACCTTCTTAACGAACCCTAAATTAAATAATCCTTACTGTAGGACTCCTACCTAGACCCCTAAAAGTAGGTGAAATAATGGCCCAAAACCTATCAAAGGCTATTATTCTACATACTTTTGGGGTCCAGGTGGACTTGCCCTCTTCTCTTCTTATCCGGATCAGGCAGTTGACAAGATCCTCAGCTTTCTTGCTCGATGGGGCACCTCGGCTGCCAGCGGTCCCCTGCGCCTTCCTTCGCTTGTGACCGCTCGGTGCACTGAGGTGTTGGCATCGTCCGGGCAGACTTGTAGCGACTGCAGAGAAAAAGGGGGGTCTGGGTCTGCCGAGTCGGAAGTGTGGCTTCAATAGCACTAAGAGGTTGTCGTGAGGTTGCTCCCGCAATGCGCCGTTTTACTGTGTATCGCTTCACAGATTGGAAGGATTCCGTGCATCTTCCGAGGTGACTGCATCAGCATCGCTGCATCTGCTGCCAGGTGCAACACATTCATGTCAGCCGCACATAGTTTTGGCAGTGAACCTACCGCAGTGTCCACCCAAAACTAGGGATGCTCAGAAGAAGCTCAGCAACCTACGTCCTTCGTTACCTGCTGTGGACAGGCGCCGGTGCCCAGGGTGCGGCCAACATGGCCTGAACTCCTGGTTCGCCACGAGCGGAGGATGGGTGGGTGGGATCAGGTCGAGAACGTGTGGATGCTCTGGGGCAGAGTCTGCAGCACTGCAATTACACATCTTGGCGGCACGGTCACTCCGACTGGCTCAATTCTGGTATTAAAGACGGTGCACGATTGCTAGCTGCTAGCTGCAATTCTGACAAAAGTTGATCCATGAGTTCTTTCCAACACCCGCATTTCTTCAAACACTAATGAGGTGTATGGGGTACGCTCGTGGCAGCATCCGATGGTTCTCTTTCGCAGTTCAAGCACTGTTTCCAAGCCACCACTCACAGGCTGCTTCCTTGTTCGAAGCGCTGAGGTTGGGTGCCCAGACTTTCACAGTCGAGGCTACAACTAGATGGTGCTCGAACCCCTAGAAGACGCTTGAAGGGACTTCTTCAGCTCAGTTTCAGGGGCTCCTGTGCCGCTGACCTCGGCCCGAGAGGGAAGCCGAGGTCCCAGAGCCTCAAGATCCTTGTGGAGCCTGGTCACCAGGGTCCGCCGCGATCTCAGGGTCTAGCAGGCTAGGAGTGGTGGGAAGCACATGGCTTGTGAGAAACAGGATGTCCGCGACTCTTCTGGTGTTTTGGACTGCAGGCCTGACTTGGGCTCCTCCAGAACAATCTCTTATATCAAAGTGGACGGCTTCGAGGGCTCAAGCCCGCGTCTGGTGAACATCGTCAACTACTTCATCCATTGGGTAACAGCTAGCACAATCGTCAGCATCCTTGACTTGATTTTTCGTCGGTGAGGTCGAACACTTTGTGGGCACCTGGCACCTGCGCCATCGAAGGTCGGTCCCTCATCGCTGCGCCATCCAGTCAGGCCCGGGCAGAGTGACAGAGATTGAAGGTCGGGGCAAATGGAAGTTGATGTCTGGAGGAGTTTCGAGGCTAGGATGCCTCCTCGAAACAAAGAAAGGCCATCGCGCCCGGGTTCTACTTCCCCATGGAGCGTTCTTGTATGTCCTATAGTACTAAATGAAAAATGCCTGCTTTCACAGCGAGCGATGATTCAGAAAGCAAGATTCTGAAGCCTTGGTCTCCCACGTTGATGGACTTCGTGCCAGGCGCTATCCATTCTGGACGAGCCTGCTCCACAAGATGCTGCAAATGCAGCCCGAGGGCCAGGCAAGGTCTGCTTGTCCGGGAATAGCAATAGCTGTAGAATAGTGCTGTGGCATGATGATGCTTATCCATCGTGATAACCCTGCTCATAACCATAATGCTAATAATGAGAAACAGCTGCTGAGCGCTGGAAGAGGTTGTGGGTTTTCACAACAGAACACTGTGATCGGAAGCACACTGACAGAGGCAGTCTACAAGTCCGCTTGGTCCGACAAATACAAGGTCGTTGATTGGGCATAACTTATGACAGATGATCAGACTGCAAGGATGAGGTGCCAGTGTCTTCATGTGATTCAAACTGATCTGGATGTTGGCAGCCTAATCAATGTGAAGCAATCCTAGAACTCGAGCTGCAGTATGCGAATTTGAGTTTCCCATCGCCCGACCATGGAGGCGCTCTGCTGACTCGGGGCAGCTTGCTGCCTGGTCCTGAGCCATGCTAGGGAAGTGGCAAAAGCATAATCCCAAGTTCAAGTCTGAAGACGATCGAGCCGTTGTATGCGGCCCTTGCGTCTTTGATGCCCTTGGTTACGATGAATTCTAGACTATAGTGATATGCTCGAGAATTGTCCAAGATGAGGAAGGCCCAACAGGCCTGGGTGACCCTTGCTGTTGGAGTCGCTGACAGCATCTTCCAGCATCGAGACATTTGAGGTGTTTCAAAAAGTCTGCTTGCACGGTTTCAGCCATATTGGCCCTCACCGACACAAGCTTTCGTACCAGCGTGCATCGAAGTCCCACACTTTGCGAAAACCGTGAGATGACGGCACCAACGCGATTGGCTGAGATCCGCTTCTGGTTGGGCAAGATCGGATCACTCCCAAGCGATCCCGCACAGGCACATCCAAGCCTTGAATCTTTGCAAACGACGTTGATGGCTGTGCATTTAAGCAGCGGCTCTGCTGAGCTCGGGGATTTGGTTGTTGGCCAGATGTGTCAGAAGCTGTTGGACATCGTCCGAAAATGCCTTGCCCCTCATAGTACTTGTATGTATACCTATAACTGGTCATATCACAAGACAGAGCTGGAGCTACAGCTTCATGCAGTTCGCGCATGCATCGACTCAAGGTTGTCATGGGGCAGTGATCAAGCACCTCCATCTGACACTTCTGATCTTGAGCTTCATCGCGCGCTGGATCTGTTCCGGAACGAGTTCGCACCAGCCTCCGTGGGGCAAGATGCGGCAAACAGACTGGGTCTGTTGCGACAGGAGATGCAGGCTTTGCTTGATTCTGTGGCGCAAGATGCGGCAAGCAAAGTGGGTCTGCTACGACAGGAGATGCAGACTTTGCGGAGCGAGTTCGCACCAGCCGCTGTTGTGCAAGATGCAGCAAACAAGCTGGGTCTGTTGCAACAGGAGATGCAGACTTTGCGGAGCGAGTTCGCGCCAGCCGCTGTTGTGCAGGATGCAGCAAACGAACTTGGTCTGTTGCAACAGGAGATGCAGACTTTACGGAGCGAGTTCGCACCAGCCGCTGCAGCAAACGAGCTGGGTCTTCTGCGACAGGAGATGCAGGATTTGCGAAATGAGTTCGCTTCATCCTCCATGGAAAAAGATGTGGTAGCCGAGGTCGGGTTGTTGCAGGATTTGAAGGAAACCGTCACTCAGATCTCCATACGGGTCGACCAGCTGGAACATTGGGACGGAAGGTGCCATGGAAGCGAACATCTGGCAGAGAACATCAGCAGGAATGCCATCGAAGAGTCGGGGACAGACCGTGTCGCTGAGCTCAGGCAGAGATGCCGCGAACAAGATATGGTCAAGAGTCTAGCTGATAAAATTGAGGCACAGCAGCAAAACATGCTTGACAGCCTTCGGAGGGAGCGATCGGGTCTGATTCAACAGCTCGCCAATAGACTGGACCGCGCAGGGAGCACGTTGAGTCTACAAAGCTGCACACTTCATCAGGGCTGGGCAGACGGGCAATGTAAACCTTCGACGGCTGGCCCTGCAGCACGCGGCAGCGACAGTGGCAGCGAGGCATCCTGGGTTTGTCTTAGTCGTGGTGGCTCGGATACGCAGGGCAGCAGCAGTGTCAGAAGCGGAATCTCCGTGGAAACTGCGGGTTGTAACTGCTTCATGCACGATGCCGCCTTTAAGTCCGAGACTGGTGCCTTGGTACCCGGGAGTGCCTTGCACAAGGGCTCAAGAGTTCTCGCCGCAGACGGTTCCGTCGTGCAGGCGAACGACCCTGAGGATCATGAGGCTAAGGCCACAGTGCTACTGAAAACCGGTGCTGCTGAGCTGGAGGTCACTTTGGACCACAGGGTTCTCCTCTCCGACAACCGAATGGCCCCTTGAAGCTAAACTCAGCATCTGATTCTCGCGCAAGGTCACCACTAAGTCAGAGTTGCAGTTAGAATCTACATTCCTGAGTTTGCTGACTGGTGCCGAGGTTCGAGCCAAAGATCTTCGCGTTGGGGACGAAGTCCTGGTCGGCGGTCTTGGGCCTGCGAGGCTTCAGTATGCGGACGTCAAACTCGAGCCTGTGATGGTGCGAAAGATCGTTTTCCAGCCAGACTTGCCTGTGGAGGTCCTGAAGCTCTCGATTTTGAGCCACGGGGACAAACAAAGCAAAAGGACTCGGCGTGGTGGGCAGAACCGCAGACGGAGCGACCGTCAGGACAACTGCACGATTCCGGACACGGAGGGCTACCTGACAGACTGAGCCCGGCTGCAGAACGATGGCTTCTAGCTGTAGACTGAATTGGGGCATGCAGAAGTCTCTGAAGAAACCGGCAAGTCGCTTTGGCTTCCCACCACCACCGGAGAAAAAATTGCTGAACGACTCATCTTCTTAACTCCTCTAAGTCTAGCCTATACCCTAAACCCTGCACTGCACTGTTTCGGGTGGGCGGCCCAGTGCGCACAGTCCAACCGAAGAGTCGACCTGTGCCCAGGAAGAAGACTTGTCACAGTTTTGCATCGATGTGTCTGTGCACGCAGCTCATCATTGAGCCGCTGCTTCTTATATACTCCAACTTTGCCATTAGTTACTGTGCCAACTTGAGGAAGCAGCTGATCTAATGCTGAGGTTGTGGTGCCATGCATCGGCTTTGAAAGTGTTGGAGACATACCGCAGTGCTCCCTTGCAAGGCTTTGTACAGATGGTACCGTCGGGCATACTTATCGCAAGCTTCGCCGCTGCCCGTGCCAGAAGACGTCAGGGCGTGCGCAAAAGACTGCCTCGACGAGCTGTGCGAGTCACACATGTTCCGAACCGAAGCCAACCAGGTTGGCCGCTGAAACGCCCCTTCAGGCCTACTACCTCTACTAATCTTCCTATGATTATTAGTAATGTATTCTCTTACAACCTACTATGGTTCATGATAATGAGTATTGTATTTTACTACTTACTACAAACTTTTGCCGTTATGCAACAAGGTCCGACGCCATCGCCGGCAGACTGTCGTCAGGCTTCACAGAGCAGTCGCCGTACCTTGGCCTGCGAGACCAGTTTACTACAGGGGCCGAAAGAATTGCCAATACTCTTTTGGGGGTTCCTTACTATAGTATAATGGGCCCCTGAAGCCCTATTCTAATTATTAAGGCCCCTACTTTATTTGATGGGATCTGTGGTCTTCGATAGGCCAAGACTCTGGGACAGAAGCCCAAGGGCCTGGCGAGGCACTCGCCCACAAGTGGCTTCAAAGTTCACCGCCCCGGCGCACGGGTTCATGATCGCATGCGGGTTTCATGTCTCGAACTCTTCGCCCAGAATTGCGGACTAATTTCTTGACCTGTTTGCGTACTTGCTATCTGGGTTACAGGCAGAATAGCGGAGTTGTGAGTTCACGTCATAGGGGCAATGCTTGGCAATATGTTACAGGGAAGGTATTCCGCATACCAGAAATCTCGAAGTGCCTCAAGCCCTTTACCTCGAGCCCCCTAAACCCTAAACCCCGAAACCCTAAACTCCTTAAACCCCAAAACCACGCGGTGGGGGCCCAGCCCTTCAAGGCAGGGAGCTGCAAATTTGGCTCGGTGTCCCACGGTTTCAGCAGCCGGGAAGCCGAGATCCCTTCCGACTTCTCTTAAGGGTAGTGTTTAGAATTCGGGTTTATAGGGTTAAGGGTTAGACTCCGAAGTTTAGGGCCAGGGCTTAGTGTTTTCGGCTGAGGGCTTGACGGTTTTGGTTTAGGGTTTGCGGATGGAGTTAGTTAAGCTTTGGATTCAGCGTTTAGCTCTAGGGTCAGGGTTTAGGGTCGGTTTTGACGTGCACCTTAGAGAGCTCTCCAAGGCTCGGGATTGATGGAGAGTTACCAGTTTTTGGTCGACTTTGTCGGCTCTTTTGTTCGCCTATGGTTCAGGGTTCGGTGTGCAGTAACTATCACGCATAGCTGTGCTGTAATACTCTCCAAAACCCGACTCTACGATCCTACACCGAAAACCTTGCAAAACCCTATAGACCTGTAGCGCCCTGATTAAATCCCACTTTACTATTAAGGCTCCTACACTACGAACCCAAAGGACCCTTTTAATGATTATTGAGGCCCCCCAACTGAAGGCCCCCAAGGCCACTTCGACCTTTTCCCCAAAGGCTCCAATCATACCACAGCACATCCCAAAACCCTGCTCTGATTTCTAAGGCCCCTATCCTCAACCCCAAAACCACCGAAAGACTCCCTAAACCCTAAACGCTAAGACTCTAAACCTTTAAACCATAAACCCCTAAAGCCCTAAACCCTCAATCCTAGACTGCTTCGAGCTTCTCCTCAAGGCTCTGGGACCCCCGCTGCTCGCTGCGCTCCGCGCCACGGCTGCAGAGCTTCTCTCGCAGCCCAACGCTCAGGCCAATCCCCGGGCCTTTCATTATGTTTGTAGTTATTTACAATGTATGTATGTATGTATGTATGTATGTATGTATGTATGTGTGTATGTGTGTATGTATGTATGTATGTATGTATGTACACATATACATGTATATAGAGTTATACATACATATATATATATATATATGTATATACACATATTCTTAAGTACAGTATGCATATCTTTTACCTATATTCGTGGATTATATCTGCAGATCTGTATGTCTAGTCTATGTACCTATGTATCCACAGACCCGTATCTACATCGACATCTACAGCTATACCATATCAATACTGATTAGTATAAACATACCAACACCTGTGTGTACAACTGTGTAGACACGCATACACAAACGTAGTATATGCAAGCTCTCTCGTTTTGATTCTGGGAACCAATCCCCAAAAACAAAACATCACACACTCCAGAACCTCCTTAGTTTTTAATGCTAAACCCTAAACCCTATATACCCTAAATCCTAAACCCTACACCAGGGCTCGGCAAACCTTGCATGGTGCCGTGGCTCCTTGGAGACTGCCGGCGAGCAGGTTGGGCCTCGTGTCATGATTGTTTTTTGTTGGAGGGTTTAGGGTGTCGGTTTCAGGATTTAGGGTTTTATAAGGGTTTAGAGTTTAGGTTTCAGGGTTGTTGAGTTTAGGGAGTTGAGCGTTTAGAGTTTAGGGTTTAGGGTGCGTGGGGTGGGGGGTGGATAACTGTGACCTTTGTAAGGGTTCTGTAGATGTTTAGGGGCCGGGAGGCCCAGGGAGCAATGTGTACGACCTACAAGTAAGGATTCTAAAACAAACATCAAAAAGCTCTGCTTAGGTTTTGCGTTCGATTGTTCAGGGGGTGTTGGCCTGGATGTAGGGTAGGAGAGGATGATGGGAGTAGTATCATTGGTGCCATCCTGATCAATGATTTTTCTGATATTCCCAACTGCCCAGAGAGCCCAATACTCCTTGATTAAGGAATATAGCTTAAATCATAATATGAAGCACTATATAATTTAAGCCATATTCCTTAATACCCTTATAGAACCCCTATAGATCCCTTTAAGGAGCCCTTTAAGGAACCCTAGGTATTCCTTAATTAAGGGGCCCCTTGGGCTCTCTGGGTGCTTCCGGGCCTCCAGCCGGGCCATTGCTTCCAAGCCTGGAAGTGGGCTGAGAGGACCTAGACCCTCCATCTACCCTCTATTAGACCCTACATGCCCCTTATTTGGGACCATATACCCCTATTTGAGGGTACAAGGAGGGTCCTGGGAGGGTTTCCCACAAAGTTTCGCCCCCGCAACGTGTTGCCATTGCTTTCGTGATGCTCAAGGAGTATGAGCGCTTTCTTTGGCATCGCATGATGAATTAACGTATTCCTATGTGGCATGATGGATGCGGTCTTGCAAACCGTGGCCCGGTGTTTGAGTAAGATTCCCCAGCAAACACCAATAGTCTGATCTCAGGATCATCCCAGAGAGTATCATGTCAGGGGCTTTTTGGTCATACACAATCTGCCCTGAAGCCCGTTACCCGCCAGAAGCGAAGAAAGGCGAAGCCAGCAAGAGCACAAGAGGTTAAAGCAGCGGAGGAGTTGGTTCACTGATGATACACACGGTGTCAGTACACACCATTGCCGCAACAATAGCGATCAAACTTGAAGCTTTCCTCATAGGAGGCCAAAAGGGGTTTTAGCCTATGGGGGTTTAGTAGGGATTAGGGTTCCCATAATAGGGCTCATATTAAGGAATCCCTACCCCAAGAATCTTAAACCCCCCTTTTGGCCTCCCATCATTTCCGAAGCTGCGGCCTTTGCTCCAGACCTTCAAGTCAGCCTCAGAGCATGCTGCGGCGCATGCCTACCAGCCCGATGCGCAGGAGCGGAGAGGATTCAGGGTAAGGACCCCTAGGTATATACCCTTAATATAGCTCTTATATACCCATTATATAGCCCATTATAGGTTTGGGGTTCGATGTCTAAGGTCTAAGGCAGGGTTTGGGGTTCGATGTCTAAGGTCTACCTATAGTCTCCATTGTAGTTCCTTTTTTGGGGTTACCTTTTAGGATCCCTAATATAGAATTGGTTAAACCAAAAAAGGAACTACAATGGAGACTATAGGTAAGGCTTCTTAGATGCGCAGGGCTTTGGGTGTCGTGATGAGGGCCCAAGGTCGCGGAGTACGGCCTTGTTGGAGTTTGATCCGAGCTTCAAGGTTCAGGATTCAAGGATATTGCAGGCCTATGCTGTGCTTCGTGTTCAAACATAGCTTGGAGGATAAGAGCCCGCGAGGGGAAGTTATCGCTGCAACAGGAGTTGGCCCCACTGCGTGATGCTCTCAGAAGTGTGCTGATGCAGGAACCCAGCAACACAGCCTGATCCCTTGCGCAGCGAGCTAAGACTGCTGGACACTGGTTGCGACTCTGTCTGCGATCCCATCGGCCAAACTAAACCCCTAAACCCTACTTTAGAAACTCTCACTCTAAACTCTAAACCCTGAGCTCTAACTAGCTTGTTTGAGGTATCCGAAACATCTCGGCGACCCTACACCGAAGACAGCCTCGAGGAGTCGGTTCTGGCTTCTGGTCCGTGGGCCTGGGGTGTTTGAGCTTAGGGTTTCGGGTATAGGGTTTGGGGTTTAGGGCATTGGGTTTAGGGTTGAGGTTGTAGGGTTTAGGCTCAAGGGATGCAGTAGCATCAACCAAGCCTCGGGCTTCATCCCCACATTTGCATCTCAGACTGCGGCTTGGTAGGCCCATGTGGAGCATAAGCCTTTCTTCTTTAAGTTTAATCCTTGCCGTAGGGGTCTAGAGGCCTACTCTGTCAACGCGAACATTTATTGTAACTTTTTTCAGGAATTACAGCCCCTGTAGGATACCTTGTATCAGCCATCTCCAGTGCCTTCCGCAACATGTGGGACTTTCCGAAAATGAGGGGTACCTTATTTTGGGGTGTTATGATAAGGGTCCTACTATTTATGGTACTATAGTAGGGTCCCCTGTGTTCGGAGGCTCCCATGTTGAGCCCCAACCCCTTGACCTCTGAAAGTCCTTTGCAAAGCCTAAAGTCCACGACCCGGAGCCCGATACATGCACGCAGGATTTCGATGCAGCAAGGGCTCCGCAAGGCGGCAGTGGTCCGTGAAGCCTGAAGGGCCCTCTATAGGGATTAGGGTTGCGTCCGGGGTTTAGTGCACGACGTCGACGTTAAGGCTGGAAAAACGGCATTCCCAGATCCACCGCCACTGTTTAGGGTTTAGGGTCACTACTAAACCAAGATGAAACTAAGATTGTCAATGAGTACCCCTCATGGGTTGAACTGTGCTCTCGCGGCTCCTAACCGGAGACTGCTGTTCCCGCCAACTCACATGACTAATTATTTGTCGCGAATTACTTAAACCAACTAGGGAATAAAGCTATGTGCTTTTTTTCTCAGTATTGGTAGGCTATTGCTCGGAATGCTAGTAGTAAAAGTCGGACACAAAATAGAAATGTGCGAGAGGCCTCCTCCTCTTCTCGGGGCCAAAGCAGACACATACACATCAAGTTGAAGCTCACCCACTTTCAGGAAGATTAATACCCTCAGTAGTCTATGTTGAGGTACACTCTGGGGCTCCTGCGGTACGGTAGAGAGCAGCTGAGAGCTGAATCGATCTACCATCCGTCAGCGCTCCAAGGCCTCAAGAAGCACTCTCCTGCAGTCGTTTCACATTCCTGCTGGAGGATTTGGGATGCAAAAGCTTCGGGCGTATTGGCTCCCATATCATTGGGTATAGCCTACGGTATAGCTCAGGGTGTCCACCATCAAGCTCCGTGCACACTGTAGATCTTCAGGAGAGTCAACCTAAACCTCGCAGCCCTGGACCCAAACCGAAAACTCGAGACTTTACAAAACACGAAATACTTTACCGCCTTGAGGATAAACTGCAGGGCTGTGTGCCGCTGCTGTGGCCGCATCCTCGCGAGCTAGCGCTTGTTCGAACTCAAGAAGTCTTATAAACGGTTGAAGTTCAGCTCTTCAGCTCAGACACTGGAAGATGGGGGAGTTGTTAGCTTAGCTGCCAGGGTTTGGGGGTTGCCTCTGCTTGCACAGTAGGAGTGGTCGCGATTCGTAGGTTTCTTTTGAAAAGGACCTCGCACGACATCCTTTACCAGATTCAATAGCGGCCTGTCCTTTGTTTTTTTGGTTCGGGTATCTTGGCACGGAGGCATCGGGTGGTGCTGCAGTTTTTCTAGGAAACGTACCACACGGTCGTAGAACGCGGCATGGGGACGCTGGCCGGGCATCTCCCATTCCCTTGGATGCGAGTCCAAGCAGTCATTTAGTTTGCACGACCACTTGTAGGTGCAGCTAAATTGCGTCACTGCTTGTTTGCGATGCAAAACCAGTGTAACGAGAAGCTGACACCACGGCGAGCTGTCTATCTCCAGTTGGGTGGTTGTCAAAATTAGGGTCCCTTCTTGGGTCCTTACTATAATACGGCACCCAATATTTAGGGTAACCCAAAAAGGGACCACAATTTTGACAACCACCCAGTTGCTCTTGCCTAGGCCGTCTGTTGACAGCCTGAGTCCGACGCCTCTTGGACACCAAGAGCCGCGAGTCGTTGTTAACGTGCCTTGGCAGTTCTCAGTGTTTGCGTAGGGTGCTCCGTCATGGCTGATGCATTGTTACACAAGGCCGGTTTCTGCTATCTGCCGTCATTCTGTGAGAAGTTGGGTGAAACAAAGAGACAACTGCTCGAGCTGGTCCATGTTCCATGTCGTTGGAGGCACCTGGCTTCATTGCCCGTGCCTTACTGAACTTGCGGTCGCGAGTTTGGCCAAGCGGCCGGTTTGGAAGTCCTTCTGGAGGTACTCCTTGAGTCACTCATATGGCTTGCACGAAAGCTGCAGCATGGATGTGTGAGTTGGTATATTGGCGGCTCCTCTACAAGCTCAGACATACTAGGTGTGCCAGCCACATGAGATACGTAGACCAAGTCTTCCACTCTCGTTCAGTGGCAGGTGTTGATGAAGCCTGCTGGCTGGGAGACAGATGTCTACGATGTCTCAAAGCTTGGTGTGCCAATCTCACCAGCATGGGCCTCACCACGGTTCACCCCACTGCCGTGGAGCGAGTGTCCTGTTCCCCAGCCCAGAGCTTTTCCGCGCGATGCTTACGCGAGGGAGTGCTTGCTTGTCTTTCCAGGTCACACGGTTCTACCTTCTATCATCATTCCTGGCAGCCAGTGGCACTGAGGACCACGAGACCACCATGATGTTTAATTAATTATCATGCATCCTGAAACTTCGCCGGTAGTGGTGTAGGCTACGAGAGCTCTTTCTGCGATTGAAGCATGTTACTCGTAGTAAGATCTCGGGCTTCATCCGCCACACGGTGGGAGCAGCAGTGGCAGCGCTGGAAAGGAGCAGTTCCCGATCTCGCGGTCTGCAGACAGTGGCTTTGGATTCATCCATCGGTGCGCTTCCCAGTCCAGTTCGGGGAAAATAGGCCGTGCACCCTCCGACTCTGCTGACCCGAACCCTAAACCCCAAAAGTCCTTACTCCCCAAATCTCCCCAAACCACCCAAACCCTAAACCAAGTAGGCAAGACATTGACCAGGCTCGACCAGATGAGCTCCGGCCTGATTCTCACCGCCACGTGCTTTTTGCGCCTTGGTACGCATGTAGGGTTTAGGCTTTCGGGGCAGATCTTGACTAAGGCTGTGCCTGCATATGGCCTGCAGTTTGTTACCGTTACTGAAAGAGCTGAAGTGGCCAGTCGACGAGCATCAAGGATGCTTGTGGCACCCAAATAACCGATCCCTCGTCACGAAGCCCATGTTGCCTTGGCATCTTTACAGCATGTGCGGCTTTGCCGTCTACATCTCCTTCCTATGTACAGTCTGCATGGTCGGCTCTGCAAAGTTGTTCGCCTGTGAGCGCAAAAACCAGGAGTGGATCGCAGGTACAGTCTTGTGGCGTTGGGACCGCATGTGTTGACGTCTCATGCCCAACATTTTCGGGACCCTTTAAGCTGCAGGCTGCAGGGATTACTGCTGCAAGTACCAAGATGCGGTTGAACTCAGGAAGTATGAGGTTGCACCCATGCTTCAGTCACCCAGCATCCCTTCAATTCATTGTTGCTGTATCTGCAGACCCGAGGTACCATGCGTTCCTTCAGTTCCAGATGGCAACCTACCAGATCGACAGGGAGTGACCAGATCTGCGAATTCTGACTTCCGGGCGCAGCTTTGGGTTTCAAGTTTAGGATTCTGACTGCTTTCAGGAGAGGCTGTCTGATTTATCATAGCTCCAGGGCTCGAATTGCGTGGTTGCGAAACCAGATCATGCTTTCTTCGGATTTCTGCATTGAGTTCGAAAGTTATGTTGTCAGTGTTTGCGCTTTGTCTGATGTCGATGTGGGCACCGTCAGTCCTCTGTAACCCAAGAAAGACACAGACAGGCACTGAAACCTCATGACCTCAACCCTGAACGCCTAAACCCTTAACCCCTAAACTTAACCTCAAACCCTTCCAAACCCTAAACCCCAAACCCTACTCTCTGAATCCGTTTCTATGCGCCGGCCTCGCCGCATCCCGTTTTCAGCTCCGGGGGGGTTTGTAGCCGCCTTCAAGGGCGGTCCAAGAGGCCGGCTGGCTGAGATTCTACCCAAAGGGTCCAAGTAACAGTATAGTATGTTATATACTATTTTATCGTATGTTATGGTATAGTTTAGTGTGCTATATACCATATTATAGTATAGTGGCCCAAAGATATGCCAAGTGCCTACTATATTGGTACTGGGACCCTTTAAGCTACGAATTACTACTCGTGTCTGGTAGGACTTTTGAAGCTGGGAAGTGGACACGAGACTCTGCTAGTATGACTATCGCCCTGTACATGATCATGTACTTCGACTTCTGGTATGATTCGTTATGATGAAAGTTATTAAGCTATTATTATCACCGCTAGTAGTAGTGGTGGTGGTAGCCGAAGTAGTAGTGGTAGTAGTAGCAGTAGTAGCAGTAGTCTTCGTCGTAGTAGTAAGATTGGGAGTAGGAGTAGGAGTATCAGGAGCAGCAGCAGCAGCAGCAGCCGCAGGAACAGTAGCAGCCGCAGGAGTAGCAGTTGTGGTCGTGGAGGTGGTGGTGGCGATGCTGGTGGTGCTGGTGGTGCTGGTGGTGGTAGTAAGAGGCGTAGGAGTGGGAGTAGGGTCGTGGTCTTGGTGGTTGTGGTCTTGGTCGTGGTTGTGGTTGTGGTCGTGGTTGTTGTGGTGCTCGCGGTCGTGGTCGTCGTGGTAGTAGGACTTGGTGCTAGTGGTTACTAATGCTACTACTTTTTATTATTCCTGCTACGGCTCCTACTACTACGACGGCGACGACGCCGACTGCTGCTGCTGCTTCCCCTGCCCACTGCTACTACAACCACCACGGCTGCAGCAACTGCCGCCACGTAATGCTACCTCGACTGCTGTTTGCACGAATCTTGCGAGGACAAGGATTGGCATGAACGATGAATATAGGGTCCAAAATTAATGATTCCCCCATAAAATTCGGCGGCTCCTTATTGCATAATCTACACCAAAACCCTATTAAAACTATTAAGGCCCCTATGTTAGCTACTTATCAGTGAAAGGCTCCGCCGTGCCAGCAGGTCTCGAGTTTCGCAGGGCTCCCGGGCAAAGCCCTATAGCCGGCGAGACATCGCAAAGAGGATACCCCACAGGAGCTTAGGGTTTGGGGTTTTAGGCTTTAACCCTTTTGGTGTAAGTCGCCGCTGATGATCTGGAAGTGCTCTTTTCCGTCCACTGAAGTTCGTGCCTTTGGCTAGGAGGTGTCGGTTGCGTTTGCCATGGCTCGCTGCAAGAGGTTCGTCAGCTTTCCCTAGATTCAGGCGCCCAGGAATTTCATAGCCCTAAACCCCAACAAGCCCTACGCCAGGAGTCGCTGAATTTGACCTGACTGCTTTTTTCTCACCCGTGTGGGGAGCCTTAGTCATCAGCAGGCAGCAGAAATGCTCCATCTACTCTTTGGCAGCTTCGGAGGTTGCTAGCTGCAGGTCGGTCCCCACGGATATGTGGGGTGTCTTACAGTTAGGGGATGTTAGGGTTACCTTGTGAGGGGTCCTCATGATGAGAATCCTCTCTTTTGGCTCCTGGTGCATGTTGCAGCGTGGGCTACTTAGAGGCCCAAGTAGATTATAAGTAGGGTTATAAGTACCCTAATTGGAGTTGCCCCAATTATAACCATACTCATGACCTGCTTACTAAGTCCCCTGGGCCTCCAAGTAGACGTCGCGCCATGACACTGCACCGAGGCGTGCCCTTGACGAGCGTCACATTTCATCGCTGCTTGCGCTCCTTTTATTTGCACCTTGCATGCAGCCTGATGTTCGGTGTTGGCTGGTGACAAAGTAAGCTCAAACTCGAAACCGTTCTCCGAGCCCTGACCGTCCGGAAACCGCAGAGCATTGCATGGATCACCTGAGGTGCACGTTTCTAGCTACTTGGCAGCATGTGGACGGTGTGCATGACTCATGTCTGAGAGTTGTAGTCAATGCACAGGAGATGTGCGTCTCGCCTGAACGTGACTTCTCAGAGCACGCTGAACCGTAGTTAGCGCTTCCCCCCTGAACCCTAAACCTTGAGCCGTGAACCCTGCACCCGTTCAGACCTTCCCACTTCCTGGTAGGTTCGTTGCCTGGCGCTACCCCAGGCTCTCCAGGCCAGCCTCTCTCTGATGAGATGGCATGGTCGAGAGCATGAACCCTAACGCGAATCCAGTGTCAGTCGCATCCTTCACGGTTCCACAGGATGTTCAGCGCATGCCAGCCAGACGGGCCGAATAATATGATAAGATTGATGTTTCCGGTGCTGATATTCAGAGAGACAGGGATGATGACGACGAAGAAGAAGATGGCCATGGTATGACGATGTTGAGGTCTACCCGAGAGTCTACCCTATTGCAAGCACTGCTTGCCAGGATATTGTCGAGAACCGGAACAAAAATGGCGGTGATGATGTTGACTGTAATAGTGCTCGTGATCGCGACTTCGGCAATGAAGAGGATGACGATGCTTGTGGTTATGATGGTTGTGGTGATGACGGTTCTCACTTTTCAAAAGTGATGACAACGTTGACGACTGTAGCGAAGCATCTAGGCAACGATGATGGTGATGACGATGACGATGGAGATGATGGTGGTGATGACGGTGATGAGGAAGACTGTAGCGATGAAGACGGTGACGATGATGACGTTAATGGAGATGATGATGATGATGGCGATGATGATGTAGATGACGATTGATGATGTTGCTGATGCTGATGATGGTGGCGATGATGATCGCCATCAAGTTTCATGACGATGACAACCGACAACGGTAACGACAATGATGACTGTTCGCAGTCAAGCCCTCGCAGGTGCCCCGTAAGGGATGCTCCTCGGCTGCACTTGGCCGGGTCGCTAAAGTGATGGATGTTTGGACGAAGGAGCAAGGGGCACCGCCGGGATATCGGATGCATCCGGGCTTCAGATTCTCCACTCTTGCCTTGGCCTGAAGTATCCACCCCTCGAGCCCTAAACGCAGCCTTCACTGCCGGCAAGCACCTGGGTTTCGCCTTCCCAGCTTTCTGGCAAGGCGGTGGGTGTTCGCACTGCTTAGCGCAGCGGCACTCCTCCGGATCTCAGGCCCTGCAGGTAGTTCACGTCGCAGCATGGCACGGCTCCTTGCATTCACGACTTTAGAACATGTTATTATCAGAACTCGATGCGTTGGGGTGTAGCCTGGACAGATGGCTCATCGACTCATGCAGTAAGGCCCCATAGCTTCCACCGCCCGCTGACTGATCAGGCGCCGATGAAGAGATCCGAGAAGAGGCTGAGTCCGTGGGGGATGAAGGGTTCTTCATTACCTCGGCAGCAACAGAAGTGAGACGTTTACTAAAAGCGGCCGTAATCATTACTAACACTAGTTTGGGGGTTCCTTGTTATAAGTATAGTGGGGCCCGAAGCCCTATTCTAATTACTCAGGCCCCTATATTGGCTTATGTCTTCCTGGGTGCGCATTGAGGTTGGTGGTTTATCTGCAGTGTTTTCCTAGGTTATCTCTCAGCCTGCACCCGCGCCGCAGTGGCCCCAAACTGGAGAGCGCTTGCACTATGCAGTGTTCAATACTGCGATACAATCCTGCGAACTACTTATTACCAGATATTACTCCTTCCTGCTTCTCCTCCCGCTCCTGGTCCTACTCCTAGTCCTACTCCTACTCCCACTACTCCTACGTCTGAGGACAAAACCGTAGCAACAGTAGCGAAGCCATGTTTCAAGCCGTCTACAGACACTTTCCCAGACTTTCCGTGCCTTTCGTAGGAGTCGGCTCCCTGGACGGACTCACCAGGCGGGGAAGTCCTAAGTGGTGTTTTGTCGTGTGGTCTCTTTGTAGCGCAGATGATGTTGTTCTTCTTTTGAGGGCTCTACCCATAGGCTCCATAGTAGTTCCTGCTTGGGGTTCATATTTAGAATCCTATAAGGTACTCCCAAAAAGGAACTACTATGGAGCCTCTGGGTACTGGGTGAAGTGCAAAGACTTCAGTCCGCGAAAGTTCGAGGGTTTGATGCAGTAGGGTGGGTCTAGATCTGCGCCGCGGGCGTCCGCGTACCTCTCCTCGCAAAGTGAAGTCTTTTCGGCATCAATGATTCGGGCCTTTGTTTTTGAGGATTTCGCGATCCGGGGTTTTGGGCTTTCAGGGAGTTGGTTTAGATGCTAGAGGTTTGGATGTTGTAAGGTAGATCTTGGGCTCATGAAGGGCTGCGATGCCGGAAGGGGGACCGGTGGAAACCATGCAGACATTGAAATGTTGCACCCTCTTCGCCAAAGCTTCTTGTGGATAAAACTTGTGCGTGCGTGCTGAGGATATCTGGGATCTCAAGATGAAGGATGTTGCAGGATGTTGTAGATCGTCTGTTCGCGGTAGTTCGAAACGCAAAGCACGGGAGTGAGCGATGCTTCTACTGCAGATCTGACTTCTGGTTTGCTCGAAAAACCTAAACCCCCAAAATCCCTAAACCATAAATAAGCCCCTAAACCCTCGCGATGACCCTAAGCCGTAAAAACACTGAAAAGCTGGGTGGAAAAAGGTGTTCAAAACAAAAAAGAAGCTGAAAACCCTAAACCGTGACAAGCTCCGAGCAGTTTATGGCTATGTCCTCTGCT